GGGGAGTTCTTTGGGGATGGTGCGGGTGGGCTCGTACCGACACACTCCAGGCGCTGGGCGAGGTAGTAGTAGCCGTTGCTACAATAACACGAGTAGCCCGGGGCCGTGTTCACGCACACGCCACTTTTGCACACCTGATCTCGGAACAGCTGGCACTCATCCACATCTGTGGGAAGGATGGTCAGAGGCGTGTCCCCCCCCCCCCCCCCCAAGAGAGATGGGTGGAGGCCAGGGATTGGGTGGGCTGGATTGGGAGCGGGGAGGCGGTGTGGTTAAATCAGGGAAGAGAGAGACAGAGATGGAGATAGAGACCCAGAGGTAGAGATAGGGAAAGAGGGAGACAGAGAGAGATGGGGGTGGGGTGGGTGGGAGGAGACAGAGACAGGCAGGGTGAGAGAGGGAGATAAATTAAAGAGACTGGGTGGGAGGGAGCTGGCCTGGGGGCTGGAGGTGGGTGGGACTGAAAGCCTGGCCTCACCTCTCCGGTGGCTTGGGTCTCCGCTAGGCGCCAGGTAGCCCCTGCCATGGGGACACAGTGACTGGTACTCGGCTGCACACAGAGACAAGGCTAAGCCCAGACTCCCGCTGCCAGCCCCGTCCCGGGCCTGCTCACACCCACAGTCTCAGTGCTTACCCCGCCGATGCCCACCCTTCACCCCCGAAGTCTTCAGCCCTCATGCTTGTTTGTGCCCACCCCTCAGCCTCACGCACACCCAGACCCTCAGCCCCTTGTCCACCAGGCGCCCATGCCCACCTGTCTCAGTGCCCGGGCACTGCTGGATGCGGCAGCCGCTGCCCCAGCCCTCCCCCACGGTGCAGCAGCACTCCTGCCACGTCACGTTCCGAGCCAGGATGTTGTCACACGCATCTGGAGCCGCTGTGTCGAAGTAGCACTCCCGGCGGCCGCTGCCCACCGGTCCCTGCCTGGGTGGGCTGGGCCGGCGGGGAGGGGGCGGAGGGGGTGGCCTGTCTGGCAGGACCGGGCTGGCAGGTGCTTGGGGCTGTGAGCCTGGGAATGTGCCTGGAGAGACAAGAGGCTTAGCTGGTGGGGGCTGATCCTCCAGCCCCAGGATATAAGTGGGGAAACTGAGGCCCAAAGGGCTCCCAGCCATTAGCGGCAGAACTAGACTCCACTGTCATTGTCCGTTCCTCCTATTCTCACCTCCTGCCATTTCTCCACTTCTTGCCTTCCCACCTCACACTCTCCCAGACGTCTGGCACAATATGGCACCTGCAGTTTTCGTAGCAGAAGAGGGGATTTCCCTGACCTCCAGGATACCTCCTTGGGCTCTCACATCCAAGGTGTCCCAAACTGGCCTCAGAGTCTTCACCCCCAAACCCAAGCAGCCCCACCGCTTGTCTGCTTGGCCTCTTGAGTGTTCTCCCACCTGCCCTCTCTTCACCTCCTGTGGCTGGGCGGGGCGGGGCTGCTTTGATCTAGTCCTGTCCTCTCTGCCCAGTCCCTGCCCCCAGAACCCAGGGTCACCTCCTCCAGCCCACACTCACATGGCTGCCAACGAGGCTTCAAAATCTGATTATACCTCCCCTCTGCTCAAACCCGTCCACGGTGCCGGGGTAACCTCGGGACATGTCTAGCCTCCTGACCACGGTGAGTCAGTGTGGCCTGGCACCAGCCTCCTTCTGCAGCCTCTCTCCCCACTCCTCCCCTTGCTCTGTCAATCCTGCCTCCCTGGACTTACTTCAGCTCCTCCAACATGCCAGGCCCTCTCTTGCCTGGCCAGACCTTTGCCTTTGTCCTTGCTCTCTCTGCCCCAAATGTCACCCTCCCCTACTTCACCCACTCCTCATCCTAATGCTCAGTTCAGAATCCCTCCGACAGGGAGCCCTCCCTAACTCTCCTCTCAGGCTGGCAGGCTCTTCCTCTGGGGTTCTGGAAACAGGACTGTCGTCAGAACCCCAGTAACTATCTGAACCCAGTCGCCTTCCTGGAGACAGGCTCGTTCCCTCTGGCCTGCATTGCCTCAGCCCAGCCGATTCCTCTGGGTTGTCACCCCTAGTGTTACCTCTGCCTGCCCCCACTGTGTGAGTCTCTTCAAGACAGAGTGATCTTCTCTGGTCACCGCTGTGTCCCCAGTGCCCAGAATAGGGACTGAACACAACGGATGCCCTATGAACAGTTGCTGATTGAAGGCAGCTGGTGAAGTCAGGCCGGGCAGGCTCTAGTTCTCCTGACTCTGAATCCCCCTACCCAGATTAACCCACAAGTTCTGAAGTTTTTTGTTGTTTAAAACAATGGCATTTAACTAGTGGCAGCCGTCCACATCAGGAAGGGTTAGACCACATCATTTTTCTGTGGGGCACGCAGCCATCAGTTAAATAGGCACTGACGTCAGTCTCACCAGCAGAAGCCCGTGGGGGAACACAGCGCCCAGTCATGGGGTCAAACTCCTCAGGACTGGTGGGGCAGACGCAGAGGAAGGAGCCCTCCACATTCTCGCACAGGGCAGCTCCGCACACGCCCTGCAGTGTTTCACATTCATTCACATCTGTGAGCAGGAGACAACAGGGGAGAAGAAATCAGTGGTGGTCAACTCTGATTCCAAAGGTCTAAAAGTCTGAGCTTTCAGATATAACTGGTGTTGTTAATGGCCCAGCCCCCATCATCAACTTCTCCTCTGGTGATAAACCCTGAAATTCCATTGGGAGACTTCTGCTCCTCTACTTCCAGTCCATGTGTTTCGAGTGGGGCTACATCTACTCCTAGGAGTGGAGACAAGTCCCAGGCACTGCCACCAGATTGCTGTGTTCCTCTGGTTCAGAGACAGGCAGTGCCTAAGCTGGGCCAATCAAAGCCAGTCCTGAGACTTTGGCTGAAAATATCAAGAAAGAGCCTCTGTCTGTAGCTAGGGCTGCCAAGATGAGGATGTTAGCTAGAGGTGCTAAGACCACCTTTGTCATTGTGAAGAGAGAGTCTGCCTGCAAATAAATGCAACAGAGGGAAGCAGAGC